AGAGAGAGAGAGAGAGAGAGAGAGAGAGAGAGAGAGAGAGAGAGAGATCAGCTAGTGTTCCTGTGTGCCACGGCGTAGCCGTGGCGGGGTCCACTTGTTTTTATAAATATTTTTTATGTTCGCGTTCGGAGGGTTTTGGGTGCTTGTTCGCGTTCGCCTCCGAACGTGAACACGGTGCTACATAGCTTGGTGGTTTACTACTAAGCTCATAAGTATGGTATTATAATGGTATTATTATACTATAATGATAATACTCTAATTTCTATAATGATAATAATAAAATAAAATAATAAAGTATGGTATTGTTATGTTATTATTATACTACAATGATAATACTATAATTTCTATAATGATAATAATAAAATAAAATAATAAAATAATCTAGGCTACCAGCCGGGCCGCCCGGGTCACCCTATTTCCCGGGCGGCCTGGCCGTGCAAGGACCAGGGAAGGTCCCAGCCAAAAAAAAAAAAAAAAAAAAAAACGAAATCCAAAAAATCCGAAAAAAAAACGATGTTATGCAGCAGAAAAATAAACTGAACAACTTTTGCCTCAGGGTCACATCGAAATCCTTTACCAAATTTAAAATAAAAATATAAATTAAAAAATCTTTTTATTTTTTTATTTCTTTTTGGCCCAGTTGGGCAAGTGAACCCAGGTCACTCTGGTAGCCTAGAAAATAATAGAATAATAAATTTAATCATTTAAAAAAATGATTAATTTCTTATATGTACGGTTCTTTACGTCGGTGGTGCAGGTATTTGAGTATCTTGCGCAGAGTCCTGCCGGAACACAGAATAGACAGGCTGTTGCGGACTTTATGAGAGAAGCAGATGTCTTCGGGCTGTCGGGACTCGAGAGGCTGCAAACAGTCAATCTCCGGCCATCTTCTGCTGTCGAGATTAATCTGGTGTGTAACATAACTCATACTCTCTCTCTTTCTCTCTCAGCCTTCGTGATTAATCTGGTGAGAAAAAGAATTGATACTCTCTCTCTCGCTCTCTCTTTTTCTTCTCTTCTTTTTATGAAAAGGTTGTGCAGGCTGAGGAATAGGCAGGCCCTTCCCTGACGGCCAGTGCTATGATCACGCTCCCGCGACACACCCAGGGCAGAGCGGGGCATTCCAATCCGGGAGACTCCTCATGGTACCCTACCCAGTCGCTCAGTGACCCTCCCAGTGCTTTCCTGCAGTTACTGGAGCCTTTTGTGTTTTGGTGCAATTTATCTTTTTTCAAGGTTTGTATGATGGTCGCTTGGGAAGTCTCTTGCCTTGTGCCCTCCATCCGTTTTTTAGATTATAATATATTTGTGCAAGTGTGCGGCTCTGGCGGCAGATGGGTCTGTGGGCACTTGCCGCTTAGAGAAGAGGTTCACAGAGCCCTAAATTTTCAGGGTTTTTAAGGGGCCTAAAACCCGATGCAGTAACCCGTGTTCTGCAGCAGTGTAGCATATCAGAAAGTGAAATGCACTGAAAGCCTAGGATCTAGCAATGACGAAAGTGGCAACAACCAGCAGCATAGGTGCAACATTCACAAGGTGTCAATGTGCGCGATGCAAAGAGTGAAACAACGGGAAATCAATAACAACACATTCGTATCATCATCATCATAGGCTGGGAAGCAGCGCAGCGGAAGATTTAGTATCAAGAGGACACGTGGACAACAACATGAAAGGGAGAAACTTCGTAAGGGCAAGACAGCAGAAAGATTGCCCTTCCGCTCACACACATGGGGAGAGATCCATAGACATGCGAGAGAGAAGGGGGAGGGACATAGAGGTAACCAAGTCCAACTGATCTCCGAATGTCGCACACAGCTCAATCCCAATGTAGAGTGTAAGTCCGATCTGAATGTCGTGTCCAATAAGGCAGAAGGCCGTGTCCAAACAATGTCTGCAGTTACCTCTATCTCTACTCTGATAAAGAAGAAGAAGAAGAAGAAGAAGAAGAACTTCGGAGGAGTAGGAGGAGAAGAGGAGAGGAGAAGAAGAAGAAGAAGAAGAAGAAGAAGAAGAAGAAAGCTAGGCGCTTTCTGCACTTACCTGGCGATGGCTGAATGCAGGTACCGCGGACCCAGCTATGGTGCTGGTACAGGTAAGTCCTCTTCTCTCTAACTCCACTACCCTCCTCGGCGCTGGACTCCTCCAGCGCTGTGCCTCAAAATAGCGCAGCAGGGAGTCACCAGAATAGCGCAGCAGCGAAGTTCCTGAACCAGCATAACGCTGGATTTCTCCTGGTACCTTCTGTCCACGAACTGGGCAACGGCCCAGCTTAAGTTGCGCTGGGCCAGGACTGAAAACCCACGGCCTGCGTTCTGGGCCATGCAGATCGAAACTTTGATCCACGGTCCAGATCGCAGGCTTTGAAACTGGTTCAGTCCTTGGCCTAAAACGGCCTGCCTGGGTCCCTACCGGACGTCCAGGCCCTGTCCAGGATTCAGTTTCCTGGTA